ACCTTGAAAATTAGACACATACAGGACATAATGAAAACAGGAGGAACAAAGGAAAACAAAGAGAAATCTACTTAACAACCTGGTGTATGGATGGCAGAACAGGCAGTGGCGGAATAGTAAAAAGACAAATATTGCTAACATCTACAATCGCATGTTGTATGCTTTAGTGCAACATTTAGCAAATTAATAATGTTACAGATCGTTCAAAATCTGTTCATTCCCCTTCTTGTTTCCACGAAGGTTTACTCCTATCATCAAGTGAAACTCATATGTAAGATCCATTGTGAATGGTAATAATAATATTAGTCGTTTCCCTACAAGGAAACATTTGGTATTCACTGACTGAACAGACAGTACTAGTTTCGGTTAAAATTAATACAATCTTTTTCTTAAAACAATTGCCTAGGTAAACAGGTTTCTCAAGTCCAGTAACTGTTATAACTCTTTCAATACTAATAGATTTTTCCTCCCTAACATTTTATTGGAACTGATGTCCAATGCTAACATATTGATTATGCCATTATTTTCTTTTCGAGTTACATGTCCTATCCGTTTTAATTGTTGCTGCTGTTGGTACTCCTCAGGGGATGTGGTTTCTATTATTTAGTGCTGTTGTTTGAGTTACTGTAGCGCCAGTCCACAATTTTCAAAGAAGTGTGACCTTTGCAAGGACACCAGGTTCACTCGCTCAAAGACATTTTTCAGTATTGATCTTAGGAAATCGTTGTAGACAGATGACATTTGAGACTTCTGATGACTTCGGAATCTCTCGCAACTCTTCTGAGCGATCTCCTTGTATAAGTTGGTGAATACTATCATAATACTTGCTTTCATCACGCAGTCAGCTTCTTGATTGAGGGTAGCATTACATTCCAAAGGCACTTGATGTAGGTCTTCGTGTTGAGTCTGGGTCCCTCACCAATAAATTTGGGTGTTTTTATTTTCTTACCAGAACGATTACAGTGAGCTTTCGAAGCGTCGTACCATCGTAATCACCATTAGACTCATTCAACCCTCTCCAACTCCTCTGAAATGTTATTAGATTAATAACCAAATACTCTGAAATATTCATATTGGAGATTCCTGCGCGAATGCCAAGCAGTACAGCATGCCGTTTCCAAATGTCTAGCGGAATAGATTGCGTTATGGTGCTCTTTCACTCACAGACGGTGCCCAACTGACTCTAGTATACTAGGCAATCGACAAAATCAAAAATAAACAACGCACATGTGCGAAATTAAAAATATAGTGTGGCGACCATTTGCACTATATATATATATATATATATATATATATATTTAAAGATATTTTTGTAGGTACAAAATTTAATGATCGAAATAAAAGTATAAAATTTAATATTACTAGACATATTAAAACAATATTAAATAATAAAAAAAACACAACAACAAGGGGTGGGGGAAGCAACCGGTTTCGCTCCCGCTCTTCAGGCTTCCAGGAGATTCAAAATTAAAACAGAAAAATGTACAGTAAGATTAGGTGGAATAGAATGGAAAAATGTACAGTAAGAATAGGTGGAATAGAATATATATATGGATATATATATATATATATATATATATATATATATATATATATATATATATATATAGAACAGTCACATTAATACTCCAATTTAATTTTTTAAATGCTTGATACAAAGTAGAGCATAATATTTTAATATTAATATTTAAAAATATGTTTTCATCGCGACACAGGAATTACTATATTTTGGACCTAAAAATTAAAATTAAAATTGTACCATTTTCAAGCGATGTTGAATTTTTAAGGACATTTAAAACAAAGTGTTACCTCTTTTCCTAAAGATAAAGTGGGGGACATAAGGCCAGAATTAAAAACAGACTTTTGGGTATGTCTTAATTAACCAATTAGATGTCAGATCTACTTTAAATAGAAAAGTAACCTCAGAGGGTGGAGGTGTGTGAGATATTTTTTCAAGTCATGATAAACCGGAATATAGACGGGCCATCATTTACGATTGCGGAAAATATATCAGCAACAAACGTATTGTGATTGTATACAAATATGACATATTCAGTTTTTTGAAAGGGCTTTGACGTGAGGGGTTGGTTAATCAAACGTAAAGTTAACAGAAAAAATATTCTTTTTTTATGTTAAGGAAGCTACTTAAAGAGGTCTTTAGATAAAATTACAATGCGGAACATCTATATAAGATATTAATAATACTAACTGGACGGCAATACATAGCAATATTAATGCTGAATAAAAAACTAAGGTAATTAGCCGTAGAGACTGGACCCTTGTATACTAATAAATTATGGTTAGAAGAACGGTAATACATAATTTTTAAACCTTTAACTATATTTAAAGGTAACATATAAACTTCGTCGCCAATTTACAGTTAATGCACTCCTTTGGTTTAATAAAGATTTTTTGTCAGCAAATTTGATGATTTGTAATTTTTCATGTAAACATAAAAGCATGGTTCATTTAAAGATTTTACATGTTCTATCTTTATTTAGTACTTTCCATTTAACGATGGAGTTTTATTAACTTCTTTTAAATTCCAAAAATATTTAGAACGGCACGTCCTATTTCTGTAAGAATTATTGGAGAAAGATAATACATGTTGGTACCACCGAGCTTTAAAGGAATTCTTGGTACTCTCGATATAAAATCTTTAGCTGTTGGATTTTCTGTAGTAAAAATAGTGCTTAGGTAAACTATAGAATCTGTTTGACGTCTGTTTTATAATGGATATTCGTTAGAATTTCTATAATTACACTTGTTGGTATTATCTGCGTTTGTTGCTTTGGAATTGCAATTATTACTCAGGTTTTTGTATTGATTTAAAACTTTATTATTGTTTAAATTTTTTTTTTTCAATATTATCGCTTCAGCTATAGATTAATTTTCGTGTATTTATATTTAAAATCTTATTAAGTGGATTATTTCTGGGGAAGTGTTTATCATTTAAATGGAGAAACTTCTGCTCTAACTTAATACTAACCATTTCGTTAAAATGGAGGGGTGTACCAAATGATTTTTCTCTTTCTATTTTTATTCCTACTATCGCTGTTATGCTGTATATTGTGGCTATATTGTGGCTATAAGTGACATAGCATCAAATATGCTAGGTCACTTATAGCCACTGTAAAAGACATAATCACTGGAAGAGTTACTGCTAATCCTCTATTCTATGGAGGAGGTTTTGTTTTTGATTACGGATGGAGGGTGGTTAGAATTTAGCTGGGTATATATTGCTCTACTTTGTATTGATCACTTTTTGAGAAGTAAATGCTACAAGCAGTGGAATTTTACACCATTTCTTCTTTCTCTCATTTAGATATTTCGTGTTCAGGTTCTTCGAGGTAAGGCATATGCGCGGTTCACGGTCTTTCATCGATCCATAGTTTGTGATGTCACGGATCTTGACTCAGCAACGCGACGATAGGCAGCAGCAAAGTTTGGATGATTTAGCTGCTTTCGGTCTGGAAGCGTAATCTGATACCACCGTGTAGCCTCTGGTCCATTACCATTCGCCCGGACATATGGAAAAATCATACCTACCTGCTCACGATATGAATACCCTGCCATTGCTAAACGGAACACTTCTCAGTTAACTCAATACTGCACACTTTAAACGTTGAAGATTGACTAGCCACAGATCTACACGAATGATAAATTTAATCTAGTCTACATGACAAAACACCGTAAAATTTCTTTAAACTTTATTAGTCAAAAACGAAAGATTTGCGGACATATATATGGACGTTTGTCCTTGTTTTGGTATGTGGAACCCGCCCCCAGAGTTTGTAAAGGTATTTTTGATACACCCTCTCTCTCTCTCTCTCTCTCTATATATATATATATATATATATATATATATATATATGGTATATTTATTCAGCAAGTATACGCCCAAATAAGTTTAATTAACGTAACTGACAAGCTCTGTCCGTTTAATTATTTATTATATTCTTCAATTTTCAAAAAGGTATTGAATATTGTTCTCGAAATTGAGGATAAATTCACTGTCGTAATTTTATGCCTTGTCATTGTTTTGTTCGAGTAGTTTAAGCTGTCTCAATCACTTTCAGAAACGAAATGTGGTGTACGTGTGGTGATCAGAACCCCTTTGTCTATATACTGGTATTTATGGAAAGCTATAAGTTTGAAATAGTATCTGGTGATGTCATGCGTGACGGTTATTGAGAACGAGGCTGCATAAAAAAATGATGATTATATATATATATATATATATATATATATATATATATATAGTTAAATTCCCAGATCGATATATATATATATATATATATATATATATATATATATATATATATATACTTGCACATTAAATATGTCGTTGATGATGTAGCAGGTATGTTCCATGCTGTCAGTACTCTTGTAAAGACGACAAACGTGTATATAGTTCATTGTAATAGACATATTTCACGGAATTAGTTTTATTTATTAGTGACATCCCTGATCATGTATACTCACATACAGTCTAGTTTATCTTTGGAAATATCAGTACCTTTATATATAATAATCATTTTCCTACTAGATTCGACTTTTAATAAATTAATATTTAATCATGTCTGCAACATATAGTGGTTCTCATAATCAATCTTTAATTAATCTTCCTGACATCGCGCTCATGTTTCATTAGCAAAATTGACATGTATCAAGATTTCTTCATTTTTCTCTTTTCCTAAATTTTCCTCGTCATATTTAGGGTTTAAACCTTTATACCTGATTATTTATTTCCTAGTTCTATGATCCGGGTCTTTTAATTTTCATTTTGCCCAGTGTAGAAAGAGACATTAATATTTGAATCTCTACTCATACGATACCACTTTTTGTAATATTCTGTTGGAATTTATGAGATGAGGAATTATCATTATTATATGCTGTCAATTTCAGAATAGTCTGGTTCACGAAGGTATATAAAGTTGATGAGTATCGATGGCATATTATATTCTCTAAGCCTGGACTGAATTAAAATTCGCTTTGATTTAAAGATAACAAAGTAATGAAAACGAGAAAGCTATCGAGTGCAAAGAGATTAAAGTTTGTGAGTAAAAAGACGGGATGCCTACCGCGTACAAAAATATGAAGGCTTTCAAGCAAGAAGACGAAAGCCTTGCCGAGTACAGAGATGGGAACGCTGGCGTGTTAGAAAACCGGATGCCTACAGGGTACAAAGATATAAATCCTGGCGAGTAAGAAGAGGAGAAGCCTACCGAGTACAAAGATATGAAGGCTGACGTGCAAGAAGACAGGATGCCTGTCGAGTCGAAAGATATGAAAGCGTGTCGTTTAAAAAGACGGGAAGCCTACAAGATATGAAGCCGGGTCGAGTAAAAAGACAGGATGCCTACTGAGTATAAAGATATGACGGCTTTCGAGTAAGAAGACGAGAAGCCTATCGAGTATAAAGATGGGAACACTGGTGCGTACGAAATCAGGATGCCTACAGGGTCCAAAGATATAAAGCCTGGCGAGTAAGAAGACGAGAAGCCTAGCGAGTACAAAGATAGAAAAGCTGGCGTTAAGAAGACAGTATTGTCTACTGAGTACAAAGATATGAAGCCTGGCGAGTAAGAAGACAGGGTGCCTTCCAAGTACAAAGATAGAAAAGCTGGCGCCAAGAAGACAGGATGTTTACCGAGTACAAAGATATAAAGCCTGGCGAGTAAAAAGACATCATGCCTTTCTAGTGTAAAGATATGAAGTTGAGTCGTTTAAAAAAAATGCCTACATAGTACGGAGATATGAAGGCGGATCGTGCAAAAAAGACTGGATGTCTACAGAGTACAAAGATATGAGAGCTGATGAGTAATAAATCGTTGTTGATTCTTCTTTGGATTTTGTCAAAAATCTCTACACCAATAGCAAATGAACCAAGTGATGTGCCAATAAATATTCGATAGCAGATAAATGATAGAGATATAAACGTGTCAGATTCTGTAGAGAAAAATTGTGTAGTATGCCATATGAAACGGATTTCTCTATCGGCAGACTTAGCAACTAAAAGAATATAATAATTTCAATTCATGTTAGAGGAAAACTTGAATGAACGCTGTCACAGTGAGTTGCTCATCTGGGAGTTAGCCAAACTGATGGAAGGCTAAAAAGGATCTTTGCGATGATTAATGATTGACTGTTGATAATTTTCTTCACAACAATATCTTCTGGTGACCCGCACTCAGAAAAGAATGACAACAAAATTTATCGAACAAATTCCTTAATGATTTATAAATTTTACCTGCAAGATCTGAATATTATCATTATTATCTAATAATAATATGCCTAAAAAGCGTGAAAATTGTCGTACATTAAACGCGTAGATATTTTCAATGCACTTCATGACTGCTTTGAGATTATCTGTAGTACACTCCTGTAGTGTTCATTATAGATGACCGAGAAATAGAATTTTAATTATTAAATGTGTTTTGAACATTAGAACTCGTAGATGTTAGACCAATTTTTAGACACGTTGCTTCAAAATCAAGCATTTAAGAGATTTTTGACTACGTTTAGAATATCTCGAAACAAACTGTCGCTCAGCCAGGACTCGTATCATTCATTTTAAAAACATCGAATGATTACATTAAAAAAATAAACTCTCTTCTCAGTGTCAAACGATTACGTAGTCTTTCTAAAGTTATTTGGACATGACAGTAAATGTAGCTACCTGTGTGGCTCCAGCGCATTGTGCAGCTGTATTTATTTAAGCAAAAAGAGATTACATACTTCCAGAACGCTAATCTCTTCCGTTAATTTGTATTTTTTTTTTGTTTGAAACTAGGAGTGAAAGTAGAAGACGCACATATAATCTTAAAAGACTTTATTTGATTTTGAATAAAAAATGAAGCTCATCTGATAGAGTGTGAAGTGAAAGGACTTGAAATATCTTCTATTCTGAGGTTTCAGTTTGATGATCGTGTCGTGTTCCATCAGGACGTGGGTGACATGTATCTCCACAACTTCCTGTCTTTTGTAGCTGTTAGTAACGTTTGTCTTTTTTGACATCTCGCACACACACCCCGTTCCGCCATCCATTCAAAAAGCTAGTTTGGTAAGTTGGTTCACTTCCTAGCTCTGTCTCTTTTGCCTTATGTCAATGTCAAATTCTTCAAGCCTTCCGTCTTTATTATAAGACCGAGATGTTTCAACAGACCTTAAGACTTCTTCGATGCTTACTCACCCTGTCCATGATATTCTCATTATTCTACTATAGAACTATATTGCTGTTGCCTCCAGTATTCCTTTCATCGAAGGAATTTTCTCATATTTACTGCCACATAGAAGGGTTGATATTACATAGTCATTCAGTATTCTTGTCTTTGTTTATATAGAAACCCTTCTTTTTTTTTCTTAGTTGTTTGCATAGTTATATGAATCTTTTGCTATTCCAATATTTGTTCGGATTTCAGTGTCACATTTGTCTGCTAAAACACTTCCTGTATATTTAACATTCTGTACTTGATTGATTTTGAGTTCTCCAATGCTTAGGTCGCATCTTGGGGTTTTGCTCTTACTAAAAACCATATATTCTTCCTTTTTCACAATTTTTGCTTAGTCTTTCGTCTCCTGATGGTAATAGTTGACGAAAATCATTTGGATTGGAAAGGAATTTCCATTATATTTTATCTTGTAGCTATAATGTAATTATAAATAGATAATAATTTCAATCACATCGAATAATTATGCATATTGACAAACTCGAAAAAGAACGTTTCGCACAGACTGAAATATTTTCACTAAAGAAAAGAAGCCTCATCATCTAGTTGTGATTAGTAAGTTGTTTTCATAGATCATCATTGCCCGTGGTGTCAATTTTCACTGAAAGTCCCAATATTTGAAGCGTTTTACCAGAATAAACAACTTGTTCACAGTCACGGTTAAGAGTCTTGTAACACATTTGGGGTGTTGTATTATAACATCTAGTAAAACTGAGGGGATCTTGGGTAACATAGGCTGTTGAAGCCAATCTGCTTTAGGGATTAGACCAAGATTTTACTTGTATGTTTGAGCAACGTTTGTCGTAGCGTTCGCACATCGCAAGTTTTTTGTTTTACTTTTTTTTCTAGACAGATTACCGGGCAATTTTAAGACATCTACTTATTCTTAAACGTATGCCCGACGATAACGTTGGTTGATTCAAATCGTTTGCTTTTATTCATCGTACTTCACGCAAAATTTAAATCCTTTTTCTGCATTCTTTGTTCTTTGCATATATTCTACCTAGTTTTGCAGATATACACATACACTATCTCACTCATTTTTGCTTTCCCCTTTCTCAATCACATATTTTAATTGTGTTGCATCCAACGTTAATAGAAAGGGCACAATTATATCTTACTTTAAAAGATTTCCATTTAGGCTAAGAAATTTCCTTACGGAGCATTTCAAAAACATCAGTAAATACTTTGAGCTTTTCTCGATGTAACGTTATCTTAAAAATTCATTAATGTATCTGTTTTAAACAAACAGGAGTACCTCTGTTATTGTGCAGCATGAACTTTCTGCTCAAAAATTACTCCGCAGTAGTTATTATGTTAGTCGACAGCATTGATATTCGGACATGTGAACTAAACAGATATTTCTAAAAATGTTATGCATGTTGGGCACCACACGTGAGAAATAGCATTCCCTTTTGTGCTGGTACCTGTATCAGGCTCGGAGATGCACACCTTGAAAATTAACCTTTTTCAAAATTGTGTGTCTCGCAGCAGGCTCATGTACCTAACATCAGTTGTTTTATTTTTTAAATCTGGAGCCTTTAAAAAAAGTCAGTTTAAAATATACATTTGACACAGGATTAGTGAAGTTTTAGATGTAGTTAGTTTTCTTGAAAGAAAACAGTTACATATATTAATAATATATAGAATTACGGATATTTAGAAAGCAACTTCGATTTTGCGTCATAATTACCAATGTCAGAACAATAGGAGATAATTATATTTCAATATATGGGTCTTAATAGTCTCATTTGTATTCTATTCTACTTTATGTGGTTTTATAATAAATGTGGTTTTATATTTACTCTTTCTGTTATCCTAAAACTGGTTTTATATTTCTTCATTCTGCTATCTTAAATGTGATTATATCTTCTTTCTGCTATCTTAAATGTGATTATATATTTCTCCTTTCTGCTATCTTAAATGTGATTTTATCTTTCTTCTTTCTGCTATCTTAAATGTGATTTTATCTTTCTTCTTTCAGCTATCTTAAATGTGATTATATCTCCATTCTTCTATCTTAAATGTGATTTTATCTTTCTTCTTTCTGCCATCTTAAATGTGATTATATCTTCTTTCTGCTATCTTAAATGTGATTATATCTTTCTTCTTTCTGCTATCTTAAATGTGATTATATCTTCTTTCTGCTATCTTAAATGTGATTTTATCTTTCTTCTTTCTGCTATCTTAAATGTGATTTTATCTTTCTTCTTTCTGCTATCTTAAATGTGATTATATCTTTCTTCTTTCTGATATCTTAAATGTCCTTTCATCAGTCTCTTATCTCGCCTGTTCTTTTATCTTTCTTCTTTCTTTAACCTTCAGTATGATGGTCATACATTTCGGCCATGCTTCTTTTCCATTTTTCTATGCCCAATGCAAGTATCCATAGTTGCGAAGCTATTTTGTATGTTCTGTATATGCTTTAATGTTTTCTGTGTAATAATGTTCTTGATTCTTTTATCTGTTCAAAAGAAAAAAGTCAATACCATCTGTTGAAAAATAGGAGAAAACAATTTGTAACCATATATGGCTTTTAAGATTTATGTTAAATGCTTTCTAAACAAAAATAGGAAAATGCGAAAAATATAGTAAAAAACGTTAAACTAAGAAGAATTATAAAACACGAGAATTTTTTTATCAAGAATATCAAAAATCTTTTTAACTTTATAAAACGATAAACTTATTGTATGTCATTGGTTTGGACCAATAGACTTGTTTTTATTGTTTGTTTTTTATTCCAACCCATCAGTTATGTCGGTTGTATGTTATGCTCTGGAATTTTTGAAAACGTTTTTTGTGAGTGCATGCGTGTCACCTCATATAGATGTTACGCCCAATGCGTGTTTCTGTGAGATTTGGGGGATTGCCTCCGTCTGAATTCTCTCGTACGCAATGACTAGACATGTCGTGTATGAGAAAAGATCCGCATGATATCTCAGAACAAGTTTCGACGACATTCCAGAACAAAACACACAAACGAGGCAGGCCGAAAGGTACACGACTAAAACAATTTGGAAAAACGAACGAGAAAAATAGTCCAAGCCAATTACAAGCACTGAGTAAATAACCTCATCTAAGAAAAATTCGGGCAAAACCAGAGAAACCTATTTTTGAAATTGAATGATATGCTTAATCATTTTTCCTTCTTTTTTTTTCCTTGGTTTTTGTGTTTGATTTCTTAGTTATTAAAATATATTACTGCTATTATGTTGTAGATCTGAACTGCACCTTAAATTTCTTATGGGCAGATCTAGTCTAATTTCTTTTATTGCTTATTTCTAATTGGTAGTCGAGAGAAAATACAGATTACTTAAATGAGTTTACGCAAGCATGCATTGTCTGCACTCCACTGACACACAAGCAACGATGTGAGAAGCTGAAGCGTAATTTTTATGCATTTAATTTCTTAATTCACTTCAGGATTCATATACTTTGCATATAAACCTCAGGTAATAAATCTGAAACTTATTTTTAATTATTGCGAACATCAAAGCGAAATACTTGCCCAATCACTACAATCTTAATCTATTCAAATATAGGATTAGCCGTTTTCTTCCCGTGTATCTCCATAATCTGTACCTCTTAATCTGTAACCCTCTACTTCGCGTGCCACTTGTAGAATATTGTAGAAAAATTCTTTTGATTTCAAAGACAATAACATAAACCACAAAATGTGCTTCCCGCTAGAACTGCATCACAATCTACCACTGGATGATAAAGATATGAGAGAATGTTTTTAAATGTATCATTAAGTCTATCAGCAGAAAAATTACCGATTTTTTAAATGGTGAAATTTTAAATGATGATCTGTGATCATTATTGCATCATTATTTTCCTCTCGAATTTGCTACAAAATAGTTATTTTCGAAAAGTCATTACTTTATGCCTCGTACTTCATAAATAAAGCACTCCTAGGATAGTAGGTATCAGTATAACTTGCAAAATAAGGGGAGCGCTCCGTTTGGTCAAAATTCATGTCTTTGGGATTAAGACTGGAGTAATCTAGGAGATGCTATATGCAGGTCATCAGTTGCCCCGATTACATGCCCATCTTTTGGTAATACCGACAAGATCTAAAGGAATGCAGGGCATTATATTTAAAGGCGGTTTGGCTGAAAGAGTTGACCGAAATTTGTTACTGTTGAAAACCAAAGCCACGGGGAGGCCCACTCTGTGTTTTCTGTCTGCATTTACTTCCATATCTCGAAACACAAAAAAAGATTATGAAAGTAAATCCAAACACAAAACTGGAGCAACAAAATGAAAATATTAGCGTTCAGACATTTACTCTGAAGCTATAGGAAAACAAATGAATGATTTTTATACATAATTATTATTTATCATCTTTCAAATTATCTTTAACCCTTTAAAATCTGACCCCCTGATGAGCCCAGTATATGCCCTTTCACACAGCGGCCGGTATACCTGCCGCCCGGGCTAAGTTTTACACACATTTCACAATTCTTAGGAACTATAAATTTATTGTTTGATTGGTTTTTTTTTAATAAAATTTTACATATGCAAAAATATACATTTTTTTTCAATCATTTACAAATAAAAGCCACTAGAATCCAAGGGGTTACTGAGAGAGAAACAAACAAAGAAAGGGCAATAAATGACGATGATTCATGGAGACAGAACATGTTAGCATAGCAGGGTAAGTCAAATATCATCCACACTTTCGCAATATCTCTTTAGACAAGAGGTCGGATAATTTTTTTACATTCCTTCGTAGATGACAGGAAAGTGGGAAGTCGATAGAGAGTTCTGTAAAGGTAATTTTTCAAAAACTTCTACAGAAGCGGATTTCGAACAATATAGAAAGCAAGATGCAGCAAGGCATATATCAGAGAGCTTAGAGAGAACAGGACCCAGTTCAGGGGTACACTTCTTAAGAATATTTGCAGGGATAACATCGAGTCCACATGTTCTGTTGGTGTCGTTTTTGGAAATGATAGCGAATGGAGTCATATGTATATCACAATGTAGAGACTCAGTTATAAGTGGAAAGTAAGGTAAATGTACTCATATGCTGAGAAAATAATTGAAAGAGAATTTATGGGAAAAGAATTATATGTTATCTGTAGAATATAATACTTAAAATCGATCAAAAAGTGGGAGATTATCCTTATTAAACAAACTCTTACAGTGCCGCGTGTCGTCACAAGTAACAAAGCTGATGAGAGTCTATACAGTACCACATTCTTTCATCAAATAACAACAGCCTCCATCAGAGTACGTTTGCATTTATGGCGAGCGGACACAAAATGGATGCTGTTGTGAGCAGGGCTGTCGAGATAATATAGCTGGAAAAAGTGATTCCTACGGCGGATAAATATTTTTAGATAAGTAATGAGCTCAGCTTAATTAAGCACTGAAAACTGCACAGAAAAAGCGGGACCTCTAAGATATTCGGCACCTAATGAGGACCGTGGATTCAGTCGTGGTTTCGGAGCTATGACATCATTGCTATAACAGTCAATGTTGTTATATAGTAAAATTACAAGTTTCAGGCAGATGGGACTCCTGCCCAATGCTT